GCTACCAGAAATCCTACCGATAAGCCCATCATGGGGATCAGGATTCACCTTTATAATAAACAGTGGTTTTTGGATTTTAAGGTTTCAAGGACTGTGCTGTGGTCTTCTGTGGTAGTGGGTCTTTGACTAGACAGAATGGAGGAAATACCCGTAGCCTATTGCCAGTCTGGATTTTAATTCTTCCTGGAAGTGATCACTTTGGTGTTAGTGTGGATGGGAGCAGACCTGTTCTCTAGGTCTCCCTGCACCTCCAGTAGGGAGTCCAGTGTGCAGGCATAGCCACAGTGGTGCTGGTTCTGGACCATTGGTAGCTGCAGAGCTGGGTGGATGTGTTGGTTGTCCTTGTGGATTTGTCTGTTTTTTTCATTCTCCTTACTGCTGTTTTATTTTATTTTTTTGGCGGCTTGCTGGCTGGTGTAGGGAACTGAACCCTTGACCTTGGTGTTACAAAGACCACCTCTAACCAATTGAACAAACAGCCAGCTTTTTTTTTTTTTTTAAAGATGACCGGTAAGGGGATCTCAACCCTTGACTTGGTGTTGTCAGCACCACGCTCACCCAGTGAGCAAACCGGCCATCACTATATGGGATCCGAACCCGCGGCCTTGGTGTTATCAGCACCGCACTCTACCGAGTGAGCCACAGGCCGGCCCAAACAGCCAGCTTTTTGCTGCTATTTTAATGGCATGTCAGGGAAGAGCAGAGGAAATGTGAGTTGGCCAGTTAGCTCAGTTGCTTAGTTAGAGCACAATGCTGATAACATAAGGTCAACGGTTAGGATCCCCATACCAGCTGACCACCAAAAAAAAAAAAAAAAAAATGTGTAAGGTCAATAATCTAATTCAAAGAAAGCAAGGAGAGGCTGGCCAGTTAGCTCGGTTAGTTAGAGCATGGTATTGATAACACCAGAGTCAAGAGTTCAGATCCCCATATCGGCCAGCTGCAGAAAAACAAAACAGAAAACAAAGTGAAGAGAAACTGCCTGGGTGGAATCTATGAAGTCAGCAACTGAGGGCCATGCCTGGGATGGGAAAGGAGTATTTTTTAAATGCTAACCTGTAATGTAGATATTATTGAGAACTGGGGGGAAAGGGGACACACAGATTTAAGAAATTTCCCATCCCCCTCCTCTCTAGTCAGTCCTGGCAGATTCAGTCCAGGCCATGCCAACCGTTTCTGTTCTTTCCCATCTGAGTCTTGTACATAGCAGTTTAGGGAGCTCTCTGCTACTACCATGAGGCTACCATGCTGGGCTACACAGGAAATAGAACATTCCTGTCATTGAAGAGAGTTCTGTGGAACCATATAGGGAGTACCTAGAAGTAAAATGCTGCTTGTGGATTAAGCCATCTTCAGGTTCTTTCCCCATTTTGAGGCAGAAAGGAAGGGTACCAGCAGGTAGGGGCACACGGTAAAAGATGAAAGTGGCATTCAGACAGGCAGCTGGGCTGTGGGAGAACCCAGACTCTTAATGCTAACATGTTAGGCTGCCACAGATCTGTCCAACCCATCCTGATCTACATCCCTTAATTTAGGGAGGCCTGGGGTGAGTCAGCTCACAGTAGTACCTGACTCAGCCTGGAGGGGCCATTTGGGTTCCTTAGGGGAGATGGAAGACATCTGAGCCAAGACGGTAAGAAATGAGCTGGGAGGCCATGTCTGTCTTGTTAACTTAGTTTTCTGGTGCTTTCCTCATTTGTTTGCTCATTCAATCCCCTTGAACACCTCTGCCAGGCCATGTGTAATCTGGGGGCATTATGGTAACCACAGCCCACTTCCCTCTCCCAAAGAAAGGGAGATATTTTCACAAAGGGAAATATTGCTGCTGTTGGAGGAGGAAGAGTTGGACTAGAAGTAGGTGAATGGCCAATGATTGATAGGAAGCTCATGAGTTTCACTATTGGGGGTGGTGGTAATCTGTTTCCAATACCGTCCTTTGCAGCCAATTGGGGAGTGCTGCACTTGATTTATTTATTTGTTTATTATTTTTTGGTGGCTGGTCAGTATAGGCATCAAACCCCGGACCTTGGTGTTACTGGCACTGTGCTCTAACCATCTGAGCTAACTGGCCAGCCTTGAATATTGATTGAGGGGGAAAGTTTCACAACTTGAGATTTACTCTTCAGTTGCCCTTTTTGTATGTATCTGCCCTACTCAGTACAGTAGCCACACTTTAAGTGCTCAGTAGCCTTGCATGGCCACCAAGCCAGGCTGCACAGAGTAGGTAGAACATTTCTATCCTCAAGGAAGCTTGCATGGATAGCACTGACAGAGAATACATAAAAATTCAGGGGAGCTGGGTTCATTGAGCACCAACTAGTGCCAGGCAAAGCATTGGACGTATTTTCACAACATTCCTTTGAGGTTGGTGATGCGGGCGTCCCCATGTTACCAATGAGAAAACCACCCTCGTGGCAAAATAATCTGCAGCTTTGCCAAGTTTTGCGTTGGGCTAGAGTTAACCTAAACATCCCAAGGAGGGCAACAGGCACCGTCCTTACCCTTTTTGAGCCTAACTTAACTGTAGCTCTAAAGAAGACCAGGCTCATAACAGGCAGACCATGGTAAGAAAAGTATTCCTGAGGAGGCGGAACAGGCCATGAAACAGAAGTAGGAGTTGTGCAGAATGGAGCAATGGAATTCACAGACACCAGGAGTGGGCTGAGGCAGGCCTGGTGCCCATGGTTTTCCCAGAGGGTCCAGAGACCCCCTTATTCCCGCTCCTGGCTCCCTCCCAGAGGCACAGCTGGGACGCATCTGGAGAGGAGGCTCGCCTCTTCTTCTCTACTCCAGGCCTTGGCATAGACAGCCCTTTCTCCATGCCTCCTCAAATACCAGGAATTCCGGCACCACTGGGAGCCCAGGCCAGGCTGGGAACTTTCCTTCAGTCGGGAATGTACAGCTGGGGGCGGCTAGGAATGTGCAGCTGGGGTGGAGGGGAGGGCCAGGCTCCACCCTGACCTTGGGGAGGCTGCAGTGGAGTCCACCTTAATCACTATGGGGCCCCCAGGACTCAACCTAGGCCCTGGTGCACAGTAGCCATTTAATACACAAGTGAGCAGAAGCCAGCAGCTGACATTTATTGAGCCAGACCTTGTGCTGGCTACCTTATCAGCTAATTACCAGAATCCCCCGGGGCCCGTGAAGCACCAGCCTCCAAGCCTCATGCAGGCAAAGAAGTGCTCCATCTTGTGCCCCCAGTGGCACGGGATAGGCACTCAACAAACCTAAGCGCACACTCAGCCAGGATGTGGATTTGGGTCCCCCCTCTGCCCCTTCCTAGCTGTGTGACTAGACAAGTCCCTTATTCTCTCTGTGCTTCAGTTTCCTCATCTCTAGAGTGAGATTAAAAACTATCCTTACTTGCCTTTTAGGGATGTTGCGAGGACTAAAAACAAATGAGTTCATATAAAGTTACTGTAATGCTCATGGTATGCAGTTAGTACTCAATAAATCTGTTTTTTGGCTGTTAGCAGCCTGCTATAAATACAGATTCCTAGGCTCCTGCCCTGGAGGTTCTGAATTTTATCGGTTGGGACTGGATCCTGAGGGATCTGTGTTTTGAGCAATGCCCCTGGAGAGTCGGAGGTTCAAACTCATTTGGGAAGTGAGAGGATATACTCATTGAATCTTAGTGATGATCTTAGGAGGCAGGTACTGTGATCTTCATTTTGCAGGTGAGAAAACCAAGGCTCAGAGAGGGAGGGCACACGCCAAGTCTAAGTAGAAAAGATGGGATTTGAATTCACAGCCAGGACACCAGGGTACCTCAGAGAATTCCAAGGAAGATTAAACAGATAATGTGCTAAAGCACAAGAGTTTAAGTTCAATGAAAGAAGTTAATATTAATACCCAAAAAACTGCTTAAATTACACTTCTCACTGGGCATACCATAGCTGGAAGGAGGGGGCAGAAGGATTCTAACATAAGTGCCTTTTGTTTCCATGATCTGAATTATTTCTTGGGGAGAGGGAGCTTGTGGAGGAATTTCTACAAGGAGGTCCCAAACTGGAAGGGAGGAAGGGATCCGATGTATGTGGGTGGGCACAAGAATTGGGATATTCGTGAGGACTGGGGGAGGGCCGGTTGCCAAGGAAAATTAGACAGATGTGGGACAGACTTTTCCCAGAGCCCCAAGCCTGATCCACCCTGGTGTCGGCATGGAACTGTCTCAAGTTTTTTTAGTACTTAAGACCCAGAAGAATCCAACTGAGAAAGGATGGATGGCGCTAGAGATGGTTAGATAGTTGGGTGGATTGAGGGATTGGAGACAGTTGGGTGAATGAGATGTATGGATGACTAAACGAATGGGTAATAGAGACAGAAATATGGATGGAGGGATGGATGCATGAATGGAGTGTGTTGGATTGAGAAGACAGGTAGGTGGGATGGCAGATGGATTGATGGAGGAATGGAATGCCAGATGGGGTGTAGGATGACAAAGGATGGATGAAGAGGGTAGAGATAGTCGGATAAGCAAGGCAGATAGGTGAGATAATGGACTGGAAGACGGACAGATGGACAGAGGGAGAGACAGATGGGACAACAGCGGGATGGACAGACGTAGAGATGGATTGAGGATGGACTGATGATGGTGGAACACAAGAACTGGATAAATTGCTAAAGGAATGAATTTCTAGGTGTCTACTTGGAGCAAGGCTTCATAACTTGGCTTTCCTGTGTGGGCAAGTAGTTCATAAACCTCCTGAAACCATACACCAAATTGTAGTGGGTCCAACTTCCAATAATTCTCAAAGGGGTTTGAGAGCCCCCAAATTTTCAGAACTACTGATTTGTGCTGTGTTGGACCTTCCCATCCATTAAGTCTTCTGTCATTCCCCACCACCTCCAGAATGGGAGAACACACATAATTTCATAGAATTAATTAACAAAATATTAATGGCATCCCCTTCCCCATCCCTTTTGTATCAAGGCAAGAAGGGCCATTCACCAAAGCAGATCCCAGAAGCTGGAAAGCTGTAGCAATTTTTAGACCTACATTCAGTGTCTGGACTTCTGAAGGTCTTTGACATCTGGCTGAAGTCCTTGTTTTTTAAGAAGCTTGACATCCTGGCTCACATGTGGAAAGGGGCATCAGGAGCCCCCTGGGCCCTTCGAAGGCCTGTGTATTCCTGGGTGGGGGCCAAAAGAGCAGGGTGGTTCAACCTAACCTGGGCCTTGGCTGGCCGCAGCCGCCCCCCACCCCCCACATGGATGCTGACTGTGGTGGCATAGCTGAGCCGCCTGGCTGGGGGCGGTGGGGGCTGGGGCTGGGGTGGTGGCGAAGGTGCCCGTGATGTGGGGGCAGAGGAGGACCAGGGGCCCCGGGAGGCTGGGGGCACCTCTCCCCCAGGCCCCTGCCGCCTAGCCAGGCTCTGGCTGATGCAGGAGGCTGCCAAGTATCTTGAGAGGGCAGCTGCGTGGGGGCCCAGGAGCTGACGGGTGGGGGGCGGGGGACTATGGGGTGGGGTCAAGTCTGAAGACTCTGACCTGGCGACATGTGAGACCAAGTGGCCTCCTGGCTTGGACAAAACCATGGTGGTCTGAACTGGGGTGGGTAACAGGCCCTGAATGTCCAGAGAGCCTCCTTGCTCAGATAAAGGTGTGGCAGCTGCAAAATGGATGTCTGTGAGGCTCTTCTGCTCCAACAAAGGTGTGACATTTTGGACCCGTGTGCCTGTGAGGCTTTGCTCCTGAAGCAGAGGTGCAGCAGCTGGACCCTGCATGTCTGGGAGGCCTCCCAGCTTGGGAAAAGGTGGAAGGACTTGGACCTGGATGTCTGTGAGGCCTTGTGGCTGGGGCACAGGTGTGGCAGCTGGGACCTGAATGTCTGGGACATCTTGGGACAAAGGCAGTGGAGCATCAGCTGAGACCAGGTGGTCTCCATGTGCAGGCAAAAGTGAGGGACCTGGAACCTGAATGTCTGGTAGGTCACATGACAAGGGCAGTGGAACGTTGGCTGGGACCTGATGGTCCAGGCTGCTTCCATGCATAAGCAAAGGGTTGACGGCTTGATCGCAGTCAGTGGCTGGGACCTGAACTTCCCTGGAACCTCTTTCCTTAGTTATTAGGATAGTGGTTGGGCTCTGGCTGTCTAGGTGGCTTTGCTGCTTGGGCATGGGAGTAGTGGCTGGAACTTGGATTTCCATGTGGCATCCTTCCTCAGGGAAAAAAGTGGTAGATGGATGTGGTATATCCATGTGGTTTCTCTGTTTAGGCAAAGGAATGGTAGCTGGAACTTGGATTTCCAGGTGTCCTTGATCAGGCAAAGTTGTAATAGCTGGAACCTGAATGCTTGGGGGGCCTTCCTGCTTGGGCAAAGGTGTGGTTGCTGGAGCCTGAATATTCCAGAGGCCTCCTTGCTCAGGAAGAGGGGTAGTAGCTGGAATGTGGATATCCAAATGATCTTGCTCAGGCAAATCTAAAACATGTAGACCCTGGCCATCCAGGCAGCCTCCCTGCTTAAACAAAGGTGTGGCAGCTTGAATCCGGACAGCAGGGCCCAGGGGAACAGATTCCTGGGCGCAAGTCAGTGGGAAGGCCAGCTCACATACCAGCACGTGTCCAAAGGCAGGCAGGGGCCCTATATGCAAAGAAAAGAGAATTGTGTCAGGACTGATACCTCAGCTTGGGCCACCTCTGCCGACCACATGCCTGGGCCTCACCTGGCTCAACTTGTTCCTGAGGCAGGCAGGGAGAAGGCTGGGGTTGAGCCAGAACCCGTGGCCGGCGTCGGGGGGCATTAGCTGATACCCGTGTCTCAGCCCGCTGCATCTGCTGGATCCGCTCGCTGTAGAGGCGGGCCAGCTCTCGCACTCGGGACGCTGCTCTCTCCGAACTCGGAGTTCCTGCCTTCCCAGTCTCGCTGCCTCCACCCAGATCTGAATCCTCCAGGATCAGCAGTGGCTCTGGGAAGCCAGGCCGGGCCAGCTGCCCCTGCTCCAATGCCTGCCAGGCACTCCGGATTTCTGAGCAAGAGCGGAATTCAAGCTTCTCTGGGAATGCCTGATCCTGGGTGACATCCTGGGCCTGGAAATCTGGGAATGATACTCCTTCTTCACCCTCCTCCTGCCCTGCCCTGCTTCCTAAGGAGGGCTTCCCCAGTTCTCCAGGACTGATTCCAGGGAACAGTTCTCTCCTGGTGGCTAGAGCCTCAGCTGATTCCTGCAGAGGTCCCCGGAGCCAGGAGTCACAGGGGAGGGCAGGAACGCTGGAAAGACTGGGAATGTCAGGGACACTAGGTATGGCTGGACGGCAGGACATTTCAAAAACACTGGAAATGTCAGAGAGACTGGGAAGGCAAGGAACTTTGGGAATTTCAGAATGGTCAGGAATTTCAGGGATGCTGGGAATGTCGGGAATTTCAGCTGCACTGGAACTTTCAAGCCCCTCTAAGACATGGAGTGGGGAAGGCTCCCGTTCATCCATTTCAAGCTCTTCCTCCTCCTCTTCTGAAGAGTCCCGGCTGGGCAGGGCTTGGAATGTGAGGGTTTCACTGTCGCCTGGCACCTGGGAGTCTCCAGGGAACTTGGGAATGTCATGGTCAGATGGCTATAGTGAGCAAGGGGAAGAGGCCAAAGACATCAGGGTGGGCTGGCCCACCTGGTCCTTGGTCTGTGTCTGCCCAAGCCGAGCCCCAAGGACACCATAATGGGATGCCCAGCTCACCCCCGGATCACGGAGGCCTCTCTGGTTCAGCAGTTCCAGGATTTCTTCAGTGATTGAGGTCCCAGAGGGGTCCAGTGTGGGGGGTCCAACATCCTCCAGGTCCTCAGGGGATCCGGAAGCTGAAACTGGGGGCTGAGATTCTGAGGCGGAGCAGAGCTCTCCTTCACTGCCAGCGTGCTGTGAGGGGTGAGAGGGGATGGAAGGCAGGAGCCAAGAGGGTACCCTGTCCCCCTCATTTCCCAGCCCCCTCCTCCCTCAGATGGAGGAATCCAAGCCCCAACCCCCTTCTTATCCAAACCCAGGATTCTGGAACTCAAGCTCCCTTCTCCATCAGACCCAGGAGTCCAGGTCCCCAGACCCTATCCCAGGATATTTCTTACCTTCAATCTAGGCTTAGCTGGGGAGGGAGAGATGAGAAAAGGAAGTTAGTGAGCTGTAGGAACAACAGTTATCCTTATAACTGAGGAGCTGCCCCTATTATCCCTCCCATTCACCCTGGGCATCCATGGGGAGGGAGACAGACACACACGGATGGACAGGCTGGGCTGCAGCAGTCACTGACCATTCTGTGGAAACGTGACATAAGGGTCCTTCTCTGGCACTGGAGGAAAGACACTGATGTCAGGAACCCAGATCCCACTCCGACCCCTGGTTCACCTTTAGGTGGTGGGGACTCACCAGACTGCCTGCGGCCACGGCGACTAGCAGAGGGTCCTGGAGATGGAGCTGTGGAAGAGGCAGGTCAGAACCCTGGAATGAGCCCAGCTCCAGGGTCCTGGGGGAGGAGGGGGTTGGGTGGCCAGGATTAGGGTTCCATCTCATTTACCTGTGTTCCTTCGTCCAGGGGTGAAACTTCTGGCATCTCGAGGTCGGGGAGACCCAAGTGGGGGTGTCGGGGGCTCTGGGATAGGCTTACTTTTCGGAGCAACTGTGGGGAGAATTTTGGGGCTAATAGCCTACTTTTTCTTGGAAGTAATTCCTCTACTTCCACATCTTCACAACCCAAGGCTCCAACTCACAGTGCAGGCTGTTTTCAAGGAGAACTTGTTTTGCCTGAAAGAGATGAGGATGAGGGTTGAGGGGGGCTGGTCTCTGAGCACCACGGGGGGATACTCTGAGCACAAAAAACATTCCCATTAATGGGTGCAGCTACTCATCAGGTGCATGACGTGGCTGATGACCACAACCCTAGGAGGCAGGTGCTATTCCTCCAGGTGAAGAAATTGAGGCCCAGAGAGGTTAAGTTACTTGCCAAAGATCACAATGCAGGGATGAGGTAGAGTTGGGATTCAAACCCAGGTATCATAATTCTTCATTTTTAGGGATCACCTTATAAGAAAAGTGTCCTGCATTCAGAGGATCTTCTAGTATGACTGGGGCAGGGGTGTCTCCAAGCACTCTCAGGGCCCCCAGCTGTGGGAGGTGCTGTACCTTGGCAGGGATGGAGGCAGGGTGGTTCTCAAAGAAGAGGCGCTGGAGACAGTGAACCCACAGCCTCTTCTCTTCTTGGTTCTTGGCCTGGGGGAGGGGTGGAGGTGGAGTCAGGGAGTCAGATATGAGGTCTAGGGGCTGCGGGAACCCTGCTGGCCCAGCCCCTCCCCATGCTCACCTGGAGCAGGTGCCTGTGCTTGGGAATGGTCAGATCAGATACCTTGAACCCTAGAGGGTCTCGAGGACTCTCACTCACACTCAGGTTGCAGCACTGGTGAGGAAGGCAGAGGGCAGCAAATTCAGAGACCCTAGGCTCTGTGCTGTGCCCTTGTAGGTAGTGAGATATACTCCTGTAGGTGTATCTGAGTCTCTACCCACAAGAAAGACGGGCTCCAGAAGATTGTATGGTGAGTCCCTTCTGCCTCTTTTGACCCCCTCTACTAGGCTGGGCTGTGCTCTCTCCCTCACCAGACCCCTCCCCACCCCATGAAGACACTTGCCTAGTGGACAAATCCAGGTCCTCCCTCTGCAGACCTCACCCCATCACTACCTCTGCATCCCACTGGCCTCACCCCTCCGTAATAAGCCTTACTCCATACTTGAACTCAAGAAAATGTGGCCCTTTTAATCTGGGTTGTATTATGCCTTTAGGTATACAGGTCAAGGTACACAGAATATACTTTGTAGGTAATATTCTAGCCCTGCCCCCATCCCCAAACTCACGAAGATGTGGCCCTTGTAGGTGTATTCGGGACCCCGGCGCTTGGCCACGAGCAGCATCCGTGAGAATAAGAAGAGCAGTCGCTCACCCCCTCGTAGCCGGGGGCCGCTCCCTCCACCATCTCGGAAGGCGCCCTCCAGCACCAGCTCCCCAAAAGCACTGAGCTCCGGACCAGTCCAGCCGCCTAGCCGCCGCTGCACTTCCTGCCAGGACCCAGCCAGATGCACCAGGGACAGAGATGTGTATGGTGGGTGGCACACACATACATGCCAAGACACGGGGGTTAGCAACAGGGATGTGCTATCCAAGCCAACCCTCCAAGCAAGGCTGCCTCTGAAGCACTGACCCTTCTCCCAATGCCCTCAGGCTCACTACCCTCATCCAGCTGGCCCCAGCCCACCCTGGGGCCACCTGGAGGCGCGCGGCGTGCTCCTGCTTGCGTTTCATATCGTTGATGTACCAGGCAACCGCTGTCATAGACACAATAGCTTCCTCCACCATCTCACGGCCCGCAGCACCAGGGCCCTCTGCCCAGTGTTTGCCTAGTTCCTGCCAGGCAGCCACCAGGTGCAAAGGGAGGGGAAGAAAATAGTCATAGGAGACAGAGAGTAGGGGCAGAGTTGGAGCACAGAGATGGAGAAAGACAAACAGAGAGACAGACAGTGGAATCAGCTGCTGCCAGTCCCCACTGCCAGCAAGGTCCTATGCCAAGCATTGGCCCAGTTTCTCAGATGCTTCCCCAGGTGCACAGTCTGGCACAGAAAGTCAGAGGATGCCTCCTCCGGCCTAGCCTAACTCATGGTGTGCCCACCCTTCAGATGCACCAACAGGTGGTTCATGAATAGGACCTCGCCCCTCCCCAGCCAGGCCCCCAGGGGCCACAGCTGACCTGCAGCAGCAGATGGTACTTGAGGATGCGCTGAACAGGTTTCAGCAGGAAGCTCTGCAGGGGCAGCGAGTGGCGAAGCTGGGCCTGACGCTCCTGCAGCCACAGGGCTGCTGGTGGAGACAGCGACAGCTCCCGAAGCAGGGCCAGGGAGCTAGGGGCACAGCAGAGGTCAGCAGGGGCTCACAGCTCCAGTGGGTGGGGCTGGGAGGGGTCAGGGAGTGGCCAGGGTTTGGAATTGTCAAGGTCTGGCAGGGGTCAGGGGCAGTTAGGGAGAGGTCACTGTCCGTCCTGGTCTGGCAGGGGCTGGAACTGGACGGATCCGAGTGGGGGGTAGAGGGAAGGCTGGCTGGCACATCAGCTCGTGGACACGGCCTGGGGCCCAGCGGGGGCTCCTCGCCCCTCACCTCGGGTAGTTCATGCAGTACAATGTGTAGATGTCAAAGTCCTCGCTCTGCGGGTGACATAGGAGTCAGGGAGACCCCAGGTCCTGGCTTCCCATGATCCCCCTCCAGCCTAGCCCAGGCCTGGCCTTGCCCCCTCAACTCACCCTCTGAACAAAGCACTCGGCAATGGCCCCTGCACTGCTGCTGCCCTCCAAGTCTTCCAGGAGCTCACTATGGGGGAGAGGGGAAGGATGAGGAACCACCCTACCCCCACATTCCCCCATGGGAATACTCCAGAAGGCAGATATCCCATCAGTTCATGGGGTGGGAGGCTTGGCAACTGCCAACACCTCTCAAGGGGATGTCATGTTGGAGGAAGGGTCTTCTGAGGACTATACTGTAACCTGCTCAGACTTTGTCTTTGGTCAGCTGCACATTCCTCAGCTTGAAATTTTGTCACAGATGGCATGAGCATAGGGATGTCATGACCCAGAGAGGGGCACCATGACCTTGGGGAGGGCGATGTCATCACCTTCAGAGCTATGATGATCTTGTAATCCTGAGATCAAGACACTCAGAGGTGTCATGATCCTTGGACCACAGCATCCTCCATGCTAGAGTGACCAATCATTCTGGTTTGTCTGATACTGAGCAGTTTCCCAGGACAGGGGACTTTTAGTGCTAAAACTGGGAAAGTCCTGGGTAAATCAGGATGAGCTGGTCATACATGCTCACACTGCCATGACCTTCAGGCTCCACATGACTCTTGGAATCATCATGATCCCAGACCTGACAAAGCACAGAGATCCCATCCTGATACCTAGACCCTGTCCCAATATTTGGTTCCCATCTGGGTCCTCAGACTCCTGTTCCCTACACTCCTCCACCACTCTGGGTCCTCAGTCCCCATGATGATCCCTGCTCGATGTCATAACACCCCATGTACCAGCCTGGACAGGGCACTATGGGACTCCAAGGTTTGGGTTAGGACATAGCCCTTCCTTCCTATAGTACCCCTGGCTGTCCCACCTGCTCCTGACCTGCTGAACTCGTAGATGTCCTCAATGTTGGCAAACAGCGTGCCCACCTGCTCCACGCTCAGCCCCAGGACCCCACCATCCAGAAGAGGGCCCAGGTAGTCCTGTAGGGATGACTAGGATTACAGGGACTCAGGGGCTGACCTGGGTCCCCACTGCCCTTGGGTGTCCACCCACCTCACCTCCACGATGCTGCAGAGGTCACGGACATAGGCCCGCTCTGTCTCCACGATCTCACGGGCCACACGCTCCAGCCTTGAGGGTTTTGCTGAACCCGGGATCCCCATGGGCGACAGATGCAGGCGGATGGGGGGCCCTGGAAGGGGCTCTGGCATGGAGGATGAGCACGCTGGAGTGGGCCCCGGGGCCGGGTCCCCCTCAGAGCCCACTGTGCTCAAGGATGTGGAGCTCCCAGACCCTCGGGGGGAGGCCATGGCAGAGGCTGCAGGGGTATGGAGCAGGAGATCAGGGGTCTGCCCAAGTGTCCCCTCCCACAGCCCTTCATGCACCCAGCCCCTACACCTGGTCAACAGCCTGCCCACGGGCTCCTTCCTCTCCTCCCCACTGTCATGCTTGGGCCAGTCCCATCCTCTCCCATCAGGGTTCTCTCTGGGTTCTGGCCTCCATTCCTCTAATCCATGTCCATACATCAGCCAGGAAGATCTTTATTAATTTGCCTGTCTGATCCTGTCACTCCCATGAGCATATCCCCTTTGTGCTCTCAGGATGAAGTTCAAACTCCTCAGACCCACAGGGCCCTGCATGATGTGGCCATTACTGATGTCCCCAGACAGGTCTCTTCCCACAGCCACACCCCTTCTGACACTACACATTCCAGTCACACTCAACTTCTTTCAGGTCCTTAAATAAGCAGTATTTCTCACCTTCGGGCCTTTGCACATACTGTTCCCTGCATGTGGAATACTCTTCCCTGTCTTTTTTTTTTTTTTTTTAAAGATGACCGGTAAGGGGATCTTAACCCTTGACTTGGTGTTGTCAGCACCACGCTCACCCAGTGAGCAAACCGGCCATCCCTATATGGGATCCGAACCCATGGCCTTGGTGTTATCAGCACCGCACTCTCCCGAGTGAGCCATGGGGCCTACTCTTCCTTGTCTTTGTTCAGCTCCTTCCTCTTTATCATTCAATTCTCAGTTTAGATGTCCCACCTCCAGGAAGCCTCCTCTGACTTCCCAGACTGAATCTCACAGGTCAGCACCACGCCCACCCAGTGAGCAACCGGCCATCCCTATATGGGATCCGAACCCATGGCCTTGGTGTTATCAGCACCGCACTCTCCCGAGTGAGCCATGGGGCCTACTCTTCCTTGTCTTTGTTCAGCTCCTTCCTCTTTATCATTCAATTCTCAGTTTAGATGTCCCACCTCCAGGAAGCCTCCTCTGACTTCCCAGACTGAATCTCACAGCCTCCTGGGCTTTCCCCATCACCGCCCTGCCCACTCTGCCCAGGGTTTCCCCTCTAGACTATCACTGACTGGGGATGGGATGGTCTCCATCACCAGACTTGGAGCTCTATTTGAGTAGGGCTGGGGTTGTTTTGGTCACCCTGTGTTGCCAGCACCGCCCAGCACTGGGCCAGCCACAGGGCTGCTAGGCTTCTTGAATGAAGGAATAAATGCTCCACAGGCCTTGCACACTCACCTGTCCGAGACTCACACACAGTTGCACAGTCACACACTTCACCTCTGCGGTCACACCCGAGGCTGGGGCTGGGTCTGGACAGGTTCAGTCCACGGGCTCCTTCAGGCATGGCTGAGTGGCTCAGCAGCGACCTGCAGAAAGATCTCCTTCTTGGCTATCAGGATCCCATAAGCCTCCCTGCCGCCCAAACTCACAGATGGGGGCTGGGAATTAGGAGCGTGGCCTAAATCCAGGGAGGGCCCCTGGGAGTAAATAATGGAGGAGACACAGGCAAAGTGATAGAAAGAGGCGAAGAAAAAGAGAGAACTAGAGAAAAAGAAGGAAAGGTTGAGACAAAGAAGAATGCAGAGAGCAAGAGTCGCAGAGGCTAGGAGTCCCGTCTGCCTGGGGCCGGAGGCTCAGGGAGCCTGGGAACGTTGGGCTCTGGCTGGAGCGGAGGGCGAGGGGCAGGGCTGGGAAAAGCCGTGGGCGGGAGGCCGCGGGGTCCCAAGGGAGGGCGGAGGCTGGGGGACCGGATGCCAGGGTCCTGCAGACGGCTCTCTCCCCCGCCGAAGGCTGCGCGCGGGGGCGCTGGCCCTGAGCCCTCGACCCCCCTCCAGTCAGTCCCTCCAAGACCCGATCACCGTTCCCACCGCCGCAGCCCCCCAACGCCTTCCCACACGCCGCCAGCCCCCAACTCCCGCCGGCGCCTCCGCTAGCCCCCCGCCGGCACGCCCCCTCATTGTTCAGCATTGGCGGCGCCCACCGCCGCAGCCCCCCACCGCCTTCCCACACGCCGCCAGCCCCCAACTCCCGCCGGCGCCTCCGCTAGCCCCCCGCCGGCACGCCCCCTCATTGTTCAGCATTGGCGGCGCCGCCCCCTCCCCCAGCCCGCCTGGGCCCCACGCCTCCCCCCTCACCTCCCGAGGAGCCTCCAGCCCTGGACGAGGCAGCTCGGTTCCCATTCGACCCGAACGCCGTCCCCGGGGAGGCGCGGAGCCAGAACTCAGGGGTATGAACTTCGGGCTCCCAGGCTCCAGGAATCAGATTCCGGGATCTCTCGGAGAGTGGGGTCCAGTAGTCCGAATTTCTTGGTGTTCTAAGTAGGGGGTGCTGGGAGCCTCGACTGTTGAGTCTCAGATGGGGGAGCTGGGGACCCAAATTCCTGAGTCTCCTAGATGGGGCTGTGGGGAGCTGGCAGATTCCTGAGTTCCCCTAACTCTAGGAGAAGGGGTTAGATCATCTCCAGGTGGGAGCGCAGGGGGTCCCAAATCCCTGGATCCCCTTGAAGTGATGAACGCTGCAGCCCAAGAGAGACTGGTTGGGACACTGGAGGTCCGGATCTCAAGTTTCTCCAACCCGAGGGTCTTGGGCTTGGATTTCTGGGAACCCCTAGAGGGAATATGCGGTCCTCGATCCTGAGTTCTTCAAATGGGAGCGCGGGCTGCTCGCCTCCAGGGTCCCGCGGGGCTGGTGTCCCGGACTCCCGGCTCCTCCAGGAGGGGGCGCTGGGCACCTGAGTATCTCTGGGGTATCTTCGGTCCTCTAGACTGAGCGTGGGGGTCTGGGCTTCGAGGTCTTTCAAGACGCGGTGCAGAAATTCCGGAGGCTCGGGCCCGGGATTCTCGACCCCTCGGGCTCCGGGATGGGTGGCAAGGGGCTCCTGTGACGGACGCGGCGCCACATTTGGGGAGGAAGAGTCCGGTCCCAGCTGTGGGGCAGGGGGCGGTCGCCCGGGGCTTCCCCTCCCCTCTGCAGCCCGGGCTCATATCCTGTTGCCGCCCGCGGGGGGAGGGGCCGCCATCCGGCAGGCCAGTCAGCTAAGGGTTAAGACCCCTCTTCCCCGAACTCTGAATATTCATGAGGAGGCGAGTCCCCAGCCTCCCTCCACTCCCACATTCCAAGCGCCTAGCTGGATCCGGAACTAGTCATGCGCTTCCTCCTATTGGTCAGTCAAAAGATTTCTATTTGCATATGCAATGTACGGTGGGGCCGTCCAGCGAGGTCACGTGGTCACGAACGACTGAAAGAATCCGCGGCGGAAGGGTGCGGCCGAAGCTCCAGTGGCGCAATCGGTTAGCGCGCGGTACTTATATGACAGTGCGAGCGGAGCGATGCCGAGGTTGTGAGTTCGATCCTCACCTGGAGCAATTTTACATTTCTAATCAGTTTTTATAAATTTGTATATCTTATACATCAACCAAAACATCTATCACTTAGAGGAAAGAACATGTCCATCTTCTGACTTTTTAGGCTCGAAAGATTCCTGGTACTTCGGCGACAGATGGTTGGTATTGTAGAAAGGTGCCGTTTCCGTCCTGGCCGCCAGGGGATGGTATCACCTCTCATATGCCCTGGGCATAGAAGTGAGTCTGCAAATCTGTTTGAGACTTTTGTAGACATGTGTCAGGCCGTGGGTCCAAGGCAAACTGTGCGTAGGGCTCTCCCTCTTTCTCCGTACTTCGCTGTCTTGGAGTTTTCAACCCTCTGCCTCTTTTCCGCTCCGTTTCTGAATCGAGTTTTTTTTCCCACAAATACTGAACATTCACTGTGTACCTGGCTGTGTTTAGGTGTGGGTGATACAGCAGTGAACAAGACAAGGTCCCTGCACCTGAGGACTGACATTCTAGTGGGAAGGCAAATTGCTACAGACATAAGAATTAAGTATATGTTATATGTTAGGTGGGGATAAATGTCATGGAAAAAGTAGAACAAGGTAGGATGGGGGAGTTGGAGGTGGGGTGTGGGTTGCAATAGTAGTAGTTAGGGGGCAGCATTTTTTTTTTTTTTTTAAAGATGACCGGTAAGGGGATCTCAACCCTTGGCTTGGTGTTGTCAGCACCACGCTCAGCCAGTGAGCAAACCGGTCATCCGTATATAGGATCCGAACCCATGGCCTTGGTGTTATCAGCACCGCAGTCTACCGAGTGAGCCACGAGCCAGCCTGAGGGGGCAGCATTTGAGCAGAGACCTGAAGGAGGGGAGTTAACCATGACAACACCAAGAGTAGTGTTCTAGACAGAACAACCAGTGCAAAGGCCCTATGGCTGAAGCATGCCAGATGTGTTGGTGGAGCAGCAAGGAAGCCAGTGTGATTGGAGCAGCGTGTCCAAGGGGGAGGGTAGAAGATGGGAGCCAGGCTGTGTGGCCTGTGGTGAGGACTTAGGACTTTGACTTTTATGTGATCTGACTCAGGTGTCATAACAGGCTCCTTTGATCATCTCCTGGGGGAGTGGGGATGTAGACTGAGGTCAGGGGCCTGGAGCAGAGGGACTAGGGAGGGGCTGCTATGAAGGCTGAAGTGGCAGATGATGCTGGATAGGACCAGGGTGAGGGGTCCTGACCAGGGGGTGGGGGCCAGGGGGTGCAGTGTAAATCTGTTTTGAAGGTGGATCAGACAGTATTGCTATTGGCCTGAGGTGTGGATGTGAGAGAGGAGTCAGAGGGACTCCCAGGTGTTTGGCCTGAGCACTGGTAGCTGGTGGTATTTTCTTAGCTGAGGGTTTTTTTGGAAGGGACAGAGAATCTGTTTTGGCTAAAGGAGGGACCAGAGATGTATGTTTCTTGTTGTTCTTTCAGGGTCCAAGTTTCTGTTTCCCCAAACTTCTCTGCATGGCTTGCTCTTGCTCTTTGCCTCCCCAATGTCTTTCGGTCTCTGGGTTTCGGTCTCCCTCTCTGTCCCAACCCTCTTCTTCTACAAATAGGGCCTGAGCCCTTTCCCACAAGGGAGGCAGTTTCCTGGAAGAGGAGACCAAAGGTCAGAGTCTGCCAGTGGGCAAGGGGAGAGAGACAAGGAGGAGTAAGCGGGCAAGGGAGGTCAGTGGAGGGGAGGAAAGAAGGGGAAGAAGGGGGAGGGGAGGAGGACAGTGCGGGGTGAGTAGGCAGGGAAAGGGTGAAGAGGGAAGGACGGGGAGGGAGAAAAGGTGTACTGGAAGGAGAAGGCGGGTAGGGGACAGACAGGCGGATGTGGAGGCTGGAAGTGAAGGGGGACAGGAGTAATGAGGGATGAGTTGGAGATGTGAAGGCTGAAAGGGAAGGGGAGAAAAAGGGGAGAGGGAGAGTTGGAGAACAGGAGGCCAAAGAGGGGAGGGAAGAGAAGGAGGGTGCAGAGAGGAGGAAGTGGGGGGGGGGGGGAGGTGAGAGAAGGGAAAGGAGAGAAGAAATGCGAGGGAAGAGGGGAAGGAGACGGGGGGTCAGGGAGGGAGGAGGCCGCGGCCTAGGGGGCGGTCTGCAGGCTCTGACGCGGGGCCTCTTCCGGGCGCGGTGGTTCCCGACGCCTCTTGCCTTGTATGGTCCGAGGACGCGGCTCCCCCGGGGCCCCGCCCGGACGCGCGGCCGCGACCCACACACCGGCCTCAAGAGGCCAGTCCCGGCTGGAATCCGAGACCTCGAGCTCCCAAAGTTCGGAAATGCCAAGATCCCGTAATTCCGAACTTCTCGAATCCTGACAGCCGAGACTCTGGGGTCCAGGGAGGCCAGAAGTCTACAGTTCTGAGACACTAAGGGTGTCTTCGTGTGTAAGTCTCCGAGACGTATTCTGAGATTCCAGAATGTTGAGATTCTTTAAAGCCCCCTCCCCCAACGCTCTGAAACGGTCGAAATCCCCCAGACTCTGAAGTCCTGAAACGTTCTGGGTCCCCAGGACACCCGGCTTCCGGGATGGCCCCCCTGCCCCGCCCCTGCCGCGCGGGCCTCCCCCGCCCACCCTGGGCTCGCGCCCGGCACATTCCGTCCTCCCCACTAGGCCCCGCCCGCCTCCCTCGGCCCGGTGGGGGCGGACACTTCCCGTCCCCGCCCGCGAACTGGTCAGGAGCCCGACGGGACGGCAGCTTTGGGCCCCCGACGCCCCGGGAACAGGATCTCCCGGTTCCTACTGGGTGACCTCACCTGGCCCCGCCCTCTCAGGTGAATGGCCGGGCCCGGTGACGTCACTTCCTGCCAGGTAAGCGCCGCTGGGCGGCTGGGCTCCGGAAAGGTTTGGAGGCGCTATCAGTGGACTCCACTCCTTTCTAAAGTCTCATCATCCTTTCCACTCCTCTCACTGCCTCTACACGGCGGAAAAGCCAGGATTCCAGTTTACACGCAGATTCCTTTTATTTAAAAATTCCAAAAAACACAAAAATAGACTTTGAAGGTAACAATATATAT